TTTTTTCAATTTTTTTCGATATCATAAAGGGAAAATCGGTTATGGTACATTCTTGCAGTTCTGGAACAGACTAACATATAGGCAGTAAACAAACTTTTTTATTATGTCATGAGTACTACTAATGAAACTCACAAAAAAAAAATTAAAAAGTAGAAATTCTTCAAATCAATAAAACATCCAAGTATATTTTTTAATTTTTAATGAATAACCCGTTATTTTCCAGCGGCGGGTAAAGCAAAAGTTAGTTTTTGTTCAATGAAATTTTCAAATTTCAGGAATATTGCTGCTTCCATTTCCAACTGATTTAACTGTAATTGCCATTTCAGTTTCTCAGTGGATGCAAAAAGGACTACCTTTGACAACAATTTGACAATAAACTTAGTAGTTTTTGCAAAATTAATATAGTGATTTGACGCTCTTTAAATTTCAAATCACAAATGTTTTTGACGGCAATCTTAGTTGTCAGATGAGCTTACTGGCGGACCGTATAAAGGACATGGTGGAGAGGAATGCAAAATTGTTTCCAACAGTTACTGTCCCTATATTACTAGTCAATAGTGTATCTAAATGTGTGCTAATGCAGATAATGTCCCCTTTCAAGATAAGGACAATATCAACCGAATTCAGATGGAAAAAACACACACCTTAAGCAACTAATAAAGTAAATTAATAAATTAATGATAGGCGAATAGACTGAGAACCACTTGAAAAGTCATTGCGAGTATTTTCCCCATTACTTTGAAACATTCCTTTTCACGAAATACCAATAAATATTGACAAGAAAACATTGTTACAATAGGTATGTTCAGTACAAATTATTCCGACCGCAAGAATTTCGCAAAATGTAATCGAATAACATACAGAAGCACATTTAAAGTGAAGTGGATTTATTGGTTATCCGCTTGTCAAGTATACAAGACAAGGTCCATTTGCTACTCTCTTTGATGTCTCTTTGATGGCTAATAAAACGTATTGTTTTAAAATTAAACAAAGACTATTTCTTCAATTGCGTTTATAGAGATTAACATTATTTTATCATTTCGCGTAGATTAACTAGTGTGTCCAGATGCAGTTTAATAGTGTGTGGCATTTTCCCTTTTTTCATTTTCATAATTTTAACAATGTTCCTGAAAAATTACTTTTTTTAAATAAAAAAATTAAAATTAGGGGTTTGAACTATCGTACTGCCTTAAATTTGTAACTTGAACCTTCAACAAATTCAGCTGTAGATTGATCTTAACGAATTTCAGAAGGTACAACCTAGCAAAACGTAATGCAAGTAGGCCCGCTTATATAATAGCATAGTACTCATACAACGGACCTCCTGATTTTCGGTATATTGAAGGCGTTGCTCCTAATTTCGAACCGAATCATGGGATATTCGGGATAATCGCTATATTACTTATATTACTATACGCGTATAGTATTATGATGACTTTGGGCACATTTTCAACGGAAACGTTTCACATTTGCTTTTTGATATTCAAAATTGATTCTAGCTATTTAAGCTGAATATTGTATACATAGATCCACGTTTTCCTACAGCCCCATATAATGGCTCCCACCGATATTGGATATTTTGATGACTATCGGCATTTTTTAGTGGAAATGTTTCAAGTAGATAACAATATATTGTTTCAGATAGATAGCAACTGCTGCAGTAGAAAGAGGTATATGTAGGCTCGCATTGTGTTACGGCCCCCACTCTATGTTATTCTGAAGACTTAACTGAATTCTTGACACTATGATATTTCAATTGGAACTCGTTTGAATTTGAATCTCAACACTTTAATTTTGAAATGTATTCATGATGGAGGTTTTGAAACGTTTGGCGCGTCTTGATTCAAAGCTTTTTTACTTGTTAGGTATTGTTTTTATTGAAAAGGTTTCCCGTCGGCAGTGTGACCGCTGGAAATTTTCAAAAAGTGTCACAAAAAGTATCATTTCTTGAAAAAAGTGGCACATATCATTTTAAATGGTGGCACAGAAAGTGGCACAATTTATTTCACATTTTATTTAAAAAATAACAGTTTAGAACAAAACAACAAATTCATCTATATGTAATACTATATAGTAATAATATATGTATATACATATTGCATATTTAACCAGTAAAGAAAGCTAATTTAGTAGAGCTCCGCATAACAATTAAAAGTTTTTATGGGAGAACTAAATCATACACGCTATGATTATAATTATAATTTAAAGTTCAAAGGACTAAATATGCCGAAGCATTTGTATCTTTTAAATTCGGACTTGTATTGCCCATTTGGTTCACAATTAGTTTGAAATCGGATAAAGATATATATGGCAGCTATATCCAAATCGGAACCGATTTCGATAAAATTTGGCAAAAGTTATTTCTGAGCTGTATTAGATATATTTCCCTGAATATGGTTGTTACGGAGTGCATATTACGGTTGGGGGTAACAAATATGACAAATATATATATGGGAGCTATAGCTATATATGAACCGATCTACACCAAATTTGACATACTAGCTTCTAGACTCAATTCGGTCGTAAGTGCCAAATTTTATCCAATTTGGGCAAATATTAGACGTTTGGTGAACAATCAGAGGTAAATCGGACGAAGTTATATATGGGAGCTATATCCAAACCTGAACTTCGTCCTTGGGCCAAACAAATGATTTGTACAAAATTTCATCTGGATAGGGCAATAAATGCGAACTGCACTTTGTTTACAAAAATACATGAACAGACAGACGGACGGACGGACATGCACAAATCGAATCAGAATGTGATTCTATGCAGATCATCAAAAGGGACTATGGGTCTATCACGTTTCCTTGTGATAGAACTTCAAATACAAAATTTGAAATAATTCCGGTAAAAATTGCATCTAAAATCAACAAAATACTGAATATCGGGGTACCGTAATATGTGGGCTATACGAAGACGTGGACCTGAACGAACAATTTTCTGTCACAGGCTGTAATATCCATTACGAACTTCAAATGCGAAAATTGAAACAATTCCGGTAAATAATGTCGCTAGAATCACCAAAATACCGAATATCAGGGGGTACCGTTATATGGGGGCTATACGAAGACGTGGACCTGCACAGACAATTTTCTGTCATAGGCTGTAGTAAAGTAATTAAAAATTGAAAGAAAAGAACAATGTTGACAACTTTGAGCATGCGAAAACCACTTACAAACACCTAATATAAGAGCGTTCGCTCTGAAATTTGCTATCGCAAATTGGAAATGGCAGCGTACGACGCTTTTCATTGTTTCATTTCATTTTATTGTTTTAAATACAGCATTTAGATTAAAATATACGTAGTTTAAAAAAAGGTGGCACAATGTATAAAAAAGTGGCACAAAAATTCAAAAAAGTGGCTCATTTAGGATCAAAATAAAAAAGTGGCACAAAGGTATCAAAGCCCAAAAAAGGTGGCAAAATTGATACTTTAGTGGCACAACGGTCACGCTGCCTGTCGGCAATATCCTATGTTCGATAAAAAAAAAAACTTTCGTCTGTTTTGAGTCGCGTGTACTATTTACACCTTGATTATATTGAACTAACTGAGCCCGACCGCGTCGCGGGCTCGTTGTTTTAGTTTATGTTTATGTTGAAATTATCACCATCAAGTTTCAAGATCATATCTCCATTGCTTTCTTTACTATAAATGTTTTTAAAATGTGCGCGTGGTAGGTCCAACAACGCCTAAAATATAATAACAAATGCTTGAATGCTGAATACTTAAAGAAAGGGCGTGCAAGAGGTACCGCGCCCCTAAATGACTATATTCACCGCATTACATTTCTGAATGTTCTATAAAAATTTTAGGAAATCGCTTCAGACGTTTTCGAGTCTGTAAGGAACATACAAAGATTAAACATAATAACTCACGTACAAAAAATATGTTTTTTTTTTATAGATTTATTTAATGACTTTTTTAATGCCTCTTTCGATTTTTCCTACCGCAAAATGGTTAAAATACCTTAAAGCTAATTAAATAAATGCCATTGATTACAAAACAAAAAGATTCCTTCGATTTAAAGAAAAAAGCAATGGACTTCAGTTACAACTTCAGGATAACCATTGAAAGGACTTTTCGCTGAACCACATTTAAAGGTCAGTGGGACACCATTCCGAGGTTATTTTTAAAACCAACAAAAGAAAAAAAACAACATAACAACGAGTAAAGAACTGGAAATAATCAGAAATCAAAACAATAACAATGAGCAAAAGTACAGCAGCAATGTTTTCAAATAAAACATGAAACAGGTATGGGTCGGTATCAGACGAAGGAGGGACGAGGTAGCATGTGTTTGTGTGAGATTTTTTTAAAGTTATTTTTGGGAGGTATAGAAAAAAACAATGTAGTATCGTTGGCACTCTGGTGTCGGGCCTGTTGCTAAACACAATTTTTTGTGTTTTATTTTAAAAAGATATTGTCGTCGTCGGCGGCGGTGGCTGCGGTGGCTGCGGTGATAGGAGAAAAGAACCGTTTATGTCATAAATACTAGCAACAAAACAAAGAGAGCTCCGCAGTTACACACATACAGGCACATACAAATACATCTGGTCGTAACTTATACATATACGCCACAACACACACACACATTATCAGAACTCGTAGTACTTCGATACAAACAATAAGAAATAGGTAAAACAAAACGACGAGCCCCCATAAAACAGCCAATCAGAAAACGAAGTTTGACCCCCTGTTCGATAGTCAAAACAAAACAAAAACATACATGAATGCGAAAACAAAGAGAAGGCAATAAACCAAAATACCAACATAAGGTCGCACCCGCCGCCCTCCACTGCGCCCCTACAACCATACACTGCGATCATATACCAAACGCGCCAACAAATACACATGGATCTTGACGCCGACACAGACGATCGTCGATTTCGTAGAGATAACACAACAATAACAAACCGATCCAAAAGCGAGGCAACGAGTTCTAGCTGCGTCTAGATGTCCACCAGCGAGCATGGGGTATAAAAACGTCCACAAAGCAGAGTAGTGCCATCAGTTGCTCGAGTTCTGAGTAAATGGAAAGATCAAGTGAACATTTCAGTGGTCTAAAAATAAAATTACTTTTTGACAAAAAACTCTGGAAGAACATATGAAAGTCGAGAGAAGAAATCTGTAATCCAAGCACAGATAGATAAATACCAAAACTTGTGATATTTCAAAGTGTGATCCTTATTTGAGTGCAACTTTTGTTTCTTGTAATTACTAATACAACAAAAAGAAAAACAAAAACTTTTCAAAATGCCTGAACTCATCGAACAAAGCAAACCCATGTAAGTACTCATGACTTTGATGCCTCAAAGATTGCATGTCTGCAACAGCTGGTTGGCAACTGAACACGCCAACGTGTTGCAAGATTTCGTCAGACGGTCTTTTAATGGAATGTTTGGCCTTTTGGCTTTTTTCTCTTTACAGTTCCAATGGCGCTTTGCCAATGCAAAACAAGACCAAGGAAGACAACTGCGGCCTGTACAACCACATTCGCGGCATAAATGTGTCTTTTGGTTCTGTCCAGAAACTCACGCCTGGAGTCCAGGCCTTCGTCGACGAAGCCGTCGTTTTATGTCAACCTGAACAAATCCATATTTGCGACGGTTCCGATATGGAGTACAAAATGTTATTGAAATTGATGTGCGAATCTGGCACCATTGTTCCTCTGCCCAAGTACGAAAACTGCTGGCTGGCCCGCACGAATCCTGCTGATGTTGCCCGTGTTGAATCCAAAACATTTATTTGCACTGAACGCAAAGAAGAGTCCATTCCTACCCCCCAAGACGGGGTAAAAGGCACTTTGGGAAATTGGATCTCACCCGCTGATATGGAAACTGCCATTAAAGAACGCTTCCCCGGCTGCATGAAGGGTCGCACAATGTATGTCGTTCCGTTCAGCATGGGTCCAGTTGGATCTCCTCTATCCAAAATTGGAATTGAAATTACTGATTCTGCATATGTTGTGGCTTCCATGAGAATTATGACCCGAATGGGAGCAAGCGTTTTGGAACAATTGCAAAAGAAAGAAGAATTTGTGCGTGCTCTTCATTCTGTTGGCACTCCCGCCAATGGCGTCATTGAACGCAGCTCCTGGCCTTGTGATCCCGAGAGGACCATTATTTTGCACAAACCCGCTGATAACATGATTGTCTCCTATGGCTCTGGCTATGGTGGCAACTCTTTGCTGGGGAAGAAATGCTTCGCTCTCCGTATTGGCAGTACCATTGCCAAGAAGGAAGGCTGGTTGGCGGAGCATATGTTGATTTTGGGAATTACTAATCCCAAAGGCGAGAAAAAGTACATTACTGCCGCTTTCCCATCAGCATGCGGCAAAACCAATCTAGCCATGTTAAACCCCACCCTTCCAGGATATAAAGTTGAATGTGTGGGTGATGATATTGCTTGGATGAAGTTCGACGAGCAGGGCACACTGCGCGCCATCAACCCCGAAAATGGCTTCTTTGGAGTAGCTCCAGGCACATCCATGGAAACGAATCCCATTGCCATGAAAACAGTCTTCAGAAACACAATTTTCACCAACGTTGCATCTACCTCGGATGGTGGTGTTTACTGGGAAGGAATGGAAAGCAGTTTGGCCGAAGGTGTGACCATAACCGACTGGTTGGGCAACCCATGGACTAAAGAGTCGGGCAAACCAGCTGCTCACCCCAACTCCCGCTTCTGCACGCCTGCCAATCAATGCCCCATCATTGATGAGGCTTGGGAAGATCCTGCCGGTGTACCCATCAGTGGAATTCTTTTCGGTGGCCGCCGTCCAGCTGGTGTGCCATTAATTTATGAGGCCCGCAACTGGACCCATGGTGTATTCATGGGTTCGGCAATGCGCAGTGAGGCCACCGCCGCAGCCGAACACAAGGGCAAAGTTATTATGCATGATCCATTTGCAATGCGTCCATTCTTCGGTTACAACTTTGGCCATTACGTCCAACATTGGTTGAGTATGGAGTCTCGCGGCAATGTTCCCAAGATCTTCCACGTCAACTGGTTCCGCAAAGGTGCCGATGGTAAATTTATGTGGCCCGGATATGGTGACAACTCCCGAGTCCTCGAATGGGTCTTGCGTCGCATCAATGGCGAAGACTGCGCAGCAGAGTCGGCAATCGGTTATATTCCAGCTGAAAATCAACTAAACTTGGAGGGCATGACCAGCAGTGTTAATTTGGCTGAGTTGTTCTCCTTGCCCAAAGATTTCTGGACACAAGAAGTCGAAGAAATCCGCAAATACTTTGAATCGCAGATCGGTTCCGATCTTCCCGCCGCCATCTACAATGAGCTAGAACAGTTGAAGCAGCGTATAGCTGCCATGTAAATTCCTTTATTAAAACATTACAAACATATTTGTTGTATAGATATTGTCCAAGACATTTTCACGCTACCTGCCGGATATGGATGTGTTTCCGTCCATGTTCAATAGTCCGCAAACATAATTTTGTACTTCATTTTTTTTTTTTTGTTGAAAGACGTCCATATTTAATTTATAACAAACCCATAATTTTAAGATGTAGCCATTAAGAACAAATATATTGCCATATTTATATACCGGTGCATGCCCCTGAGGTGCTGCACATTCATGTATACTGTACTGTACATACTTCTATTGTATCAAAAATGTTATTTTTTTAAGAAAAGTTAATATTTTAAAAGAATGTACCAAATACAGAAAAATATCAAACTATAACAAAATGCTTATTTTAATTTTGGATTCACTCATAACCACATAAGAAAGTTTTTTCAACTTCAAGGCAAATGGGAAAATGCTACTCTGTACTGGAGTCTTAGTTTATCAAATATACATTGAACAGTTGGTTTAATCAATTTTCCAAAAAAATTCTAACATTGAGGGTAAAAACATGAACGAAATTGAATAAAAAATAGAAGGACAAGAATTCAAAAATCTTACCAGTAAGGAAAAGTCAGAAGTCGTAGAGCTCCCATATCAAAATAATTTATTTGAAGTACATCATACCACCTATCAACATTTGGCTTTAGAGCAGTTATAATAAATTATATATAAACTAGCTGGCCCGGTCCGAGTTGCCGGCCCGTAGTTTTTGTCTGTTATGCATATTTGTCAAAGCATAATTATTCAAAGATATGAATGTTATAAATGTTCACGTACTGGTCGATTAGTTTTTAATTTTTAGTCAAATGAGCAGTAATTAGGAATTTACTGTACTTTGTACACCTCATAATTGAGGGCTAATTGGTTAAGAATGGCCAAAGTTAATTACTTTTTTAAAACCATTAGCACCTCAGATTGTGCATTAGAGTCCTCATAAGTCCCCCTAACCATGTCGGTCTGTTTGTCCGCCAAAAGGTGGACTTGAGGGGGTTCTATTACATGGAGAAAATTCTAAAATTTGTAGATATTAAAAAACTATGTTTTTATTTTTGAATTTTTCCTTTTTTATTCATCCAATATTTCGATTTCCTCCGGAAATCATCTTCAGGGATATTTTTAAAGTAAAAAGCTCGTCTATTGAGTTTAAATGTCACTATCAGTTTGATAGTGACATTTAAACTCAATAGACGAGCTTTTTACTTTAAAAATATCCCTGAAGATGATTTCCGGAGGAAATCGAAATATTGGATGAATAAAAAAGGAAAAATTCAAAAATAAAAACATAGTTTTTTAATGACCTTAAGCCAAGCTATTAACCAAATAAGTAAAATAAATATAACAGGTCAACAATATACAACAACAACATTTGTAGATATATTGAAATTTTTGTGTAAGATTTTCACACCCAAATACACATTTTTAGCCAAATCCTTTGAAATATGGTAAAATGCGAAACATCGACCTACATTGAAAACTTTCTTCACCCCTTATAATCCAAGATGACAAATAGAGGCCAAATCGAAAATATAGCAGAACAACATAGCATGTCAAACTGAAAAAAATCACGTGATTTAAATAAATAAAAATAGTATTATCCACCTCATAATTGAGGGCAGACTGATTTCAGAATAGTCAAATATAATTACTATTTTACACCCATTACCGTAATATGGGAACTAATTTTATTTGTTATTTAAATTGTAAATTGGAGACCCCATAAAGTCCATATTTTTCATCATAGTATAATTCAATGACGATTCAACAAATATTCGGTCCCGTGCTACTTTCTTATATTTGTAATTTGTTCATGTTTTCACAATTTATTTCATATAGATGTATATCCCAAGTCTACGTTCCCAACCAATATTCTCTTGGGGGTTGCAAATTCAATAGAATACAAATTTTTCAAAGTGGACTTGGGGATACTCCAATGTGGGGACTTTACATGAATAAACTTCTATGTGGCATGTTCCTTACCCCAGGGTAGCATAAATACATTTTTTAGTGGTCAAGACCATTATGGGCCCTACTCCGAAAATTTTATGCGAAGAGGTTCTCTACCCCCTTAGAAACAAAGATGCCAAATAAGGGCCAAAAATAGAAAAAAGTGGCGAAGACTCCAAAAATGGCTTAAATCATACGATGGTTATTTATGATCGATATCATGGCCTGCAAAAGCGATTTAAGGTATCTTAAATGTTCAGGAAGAATTTTTGGAAGGATAGAAATCCTTTTCTTACTAAAAGTCCCAATCGCTCTACTATTTTTGCACCCTATATATTTGGTATTTTACTGATTGTACTTTTTTGGTGAAAAATTGTATATAGTATATAGTGAAAAATTATTCTTTATTTTGTTCACAAAAAATCCACTGAATTCAATATGATATTACAAATTGAAAAAAATTGACAAAAGAAGAATAACAAATTGAAAAAATCTTCAATTTGTTCGCTGATTTTTTACAGCAACTGTTTAAAGATCCTTACAAAGTTTATCAATAGAATGTACTTTTATTTTAAAATTCAATTCCATTGGAAATTTTTTTCGATATTTTCCCGTTTTGAGAATTTTTGCAATGAGATCTCTTTTTTCGTGATTTTTTTTTCGACGATTTTGAAAAAGTAATTATCTTTTAACTTTGGTGTGACCGCATTAAATTATTTCGGTATCATCTATTCCATTTCGCCACCACATAATTCGGTACTACACTTCCATGTAACCCACCATCAATTTCAGTTCTCAAGAAATCAAGTCAATTAAATAAATTGGTATTAATATTCGAATTCAAAAAAAATATATAAAAAACACTACAAATGTACATTAGAAAAAAGTAAGTCAAAATGGAAAAAATCATGCAAAATAAAACAATACTATTGTACATTTCAAAAGTCAAAATGAATATATATATATATGGACGGGCGGACATTGCTAAACGCATAGAATTTTATGCTGATCAAGAATATATACTTTGTGGGATCTAACATGTATATTTCGAGGTGTTAATATGCCCCCATACTATTGTGGAGGGAATAAAAAAGCGTTAAGTTTCAGGTCGACCTTTTAATGCCCTACACAACCAGGTGTATAAAAGTTATAAAAATAATAAAAGTATAGGGAATTAAAATTGGATCGTGTTGCATTTTATAGGACCATGTCACAGAAATCCGTTACAGAAGTTATCTTTTGCGAGTTTTAAATACGAGGTAGATCTCGTTACGAAGACTAACTATAAACAAATCGGCTTGAAAATGTGACTTAAATCATCAGAAGGATGGAAGGAGGATGTAGAACCCATTACAAAACACGGAATATCGGGAGGTACCGTTGCATGGGGAACGACAAAGCCCTGCCTACTGACAGAATACACACATATGCAAAAATTTTACTTTCTTGTATGTGTCTCTAGACTGTAAACGGGATGTCTGTGTAGTCCGAGGTTTTTTTTTTGTTTATTTCAATTAAACAAAAGAATATTTATAACTAACTAAAATGAAATATTATATTAGCTTCGAATATTTTTTAGCTATATTTGTGAAAAATGTTATGAGCAAACAAGAAATGGGAATTCAGTGTGAGATTTTTGTTATATGGCGACACGATACGTACGATTTTTTGTGGAATTGAACAGAGCCATCTAGTGAATTTTACAAATGAATTGCCAACTTCCTACAATTGGGTATAGGGTGACTCATATAATTCGTAACTATTTAAAATACTTTATACCCAAGACATAAACCTACATCTTTTATAAACTGTTCCCTAGGTAGGAAGATGGGATAATGATATGAATGAAATTTCTATTTTTATGAGTGTTTGGGATTAAATCATAGACTAGTGAATACATAGACGAAGGAATGCACTCACCGCTTATCATCGAAAAAATATGGATCGGCAGATGGCGCCTATGTCGTTTCAGGAGTAAGAGCGAAAATATTGAATTCACTCAATTCTAAAATATTAAAAATATCAACAACTAAAGGATATTTGACAATTAAAAACTGTTCCATAATAAACAAGTTAAAAGGCATTAATTTCGGCCGGGTCGAACTTTAAATACCCTCCACCATGTGGAACGAATTTGTAAATTTTCAAAAAGTAAAATCGGTTAAAATCTTCAAAATACTGAATATAGCTGTTATATGGGGGTCTATTCGACGTGGACCTACATAGGCATTGTTTGTCATAAGTCATTACCATATTCAAATTCGAAACTTGAAATAAACGGTGAATAATGTAGCTAAAATCATTAAAATATGTACTGTATATAGGGAGGTACCGTTATATCGAAGCTATACTAAGACCTGGACCTGCATAAAAAGTTTTCTGTCACAGGCTGTAACATCCATTACGAACTTCAAATACGTCATCTCAAACAATTTCGGTGAGTATTGTACCTAAAATCGTCAAAATACCGAATATAGGGATGTACTGATATATGGGGCCTATACGAAGACCTGGAACTACATAAACAATTTTCCAAATTTTCAAAGTTGAAACGATTCCGGTGAATATGGGGGCTATATGATAACGTGGGCCTACATGGCCCATTTACGAACTACTGGCAAAATATACATGTGTGCAAAATTTTAGTCTTCTTTTTTATTTCGTTCGAAAGATAGCGTGATTACGACAGACAGACATACGGGCTAAATCGTCTTAGAATTTTACGCTGATCAAGAATTATAAATTTATTTCACAAAATCAATTACAAGTTCATTCTATTTCTATACTGTAAAAAATGAAATGACTACCACTTTTACAAAAATCTTGTCATATCTTGGCAAAAAATGCATATATTTTAAAGGAAGTGGACTATAAAGGAAATATAAAGGATAAACAGGCCATAGAAGTAAAACGATAGGACAAGACAGATTAAAAATATAGCAGCCCTGTAAAAATACCTCTAATTTTAATAGCAAATGCCAAGCGTGTAGGAACCTGCCATCTTTAGAAGTTCAGTGGCATTTATATTGCAATTAGAGAATTCGAGGTAGCAACATACTTCTCCGTAATAATCGTATCCTCAATTAATTTGTGTAGTTTTTTACTGTTAACCTAATACCATTGCAAAGGCGTTGTGGGTCAATACTTCTTAATAAAATCATATCCCAATCTGAACCGATTTCAATATAATTTGACAAAATTTACTTTTACACCAAACTCCGTCACACTTTCCATATTTCATTGAAATTGGTGCGTCAAATGAGTGAAACTGGCCGAAAATATATATATGGGAGCTATATCAAAATCTTAACCGATTTCCAATTTGTGAAATTCATTATTGTAACCAAATTCCGCCACACATGCCCAATTTATGGGTATATTTATATATATGGGAGCT